CTAAACCCCAAACCCCAAACCCCAAACCCCAAACCCTACCAAACCCCAAACCCTCCGGGGCAGCCGGCGGCTCGACCGCCACGAAGGCGCGGTCGAGGTTCGCGGAGATGACGCGGAGGTTCTGGGCCAACGCTTCAACTCCTACTACTTGCCTTTAGAAACTTTAGGGTTTAGGGTTTAGGGTTTAGGGTTTAGGGTTTCGGGTTTAGGGTTTAGGGTTTAGGGTTATGGTTTCGGGTTTAGGGTTTAGGGTTTAGGGTTTAGGGTTTAGGGTTTTTGGTTTAGGGTTTAGTAGTTGTACATCGGGTTGGTATAAGTACCTTAAATAAGGTTATAAGTATAGCTGTACCAAGTATAACCCCACTTCTAACTAGCCATGAATCTCCAAGTACCTAGTTGCTGAGCACCCTGGCCCAAGAAAGGTTAACCTTGCAATCATGGTAGGACCTGGGTAGGATTGTATCTCCCCCAAAAGGTTCTACCTCGGACCCTTACGGTTGTACCCTTGGGCTGTGGGGCCCTTTTTTTAAGGATCCGTAAACCCTAAACCCTAAACCCTAAACCCTAAACCCTAAACCCTAAACCCTAAACCCTAAACCCTAAACCCTAAACCGGGGCCATCTTAGGAGTATATTATAAGGGATTAAGGGAAACCCTTAGGGGTACAACCTTAGGGGTACGAGCTTTCAGCCCTTGAACCAAGTCTATGGAGTCTATGGCGTCCCAACCCTAACGCAAAAACCCTAAACCCTAAACCCTAAACCCTAAACCCTAAACCCTAAACCCTAAACCATCCCTGACTCATCGGCCTTGTTCAAGAAGAAAGGCATCGGATGGAGCTCACCACCTGGGTCTTGGAGGAGCTGGGGTTAGGGTTTAGGGCTTAGGGCTTAGGGTTCAGGGTTCAGGGTTTAGGGTTTAGGGTTTAGGGCTTAGGGTTTAAGGTTTAGCGTTCTTGGCAAGCTGCAATCAGGTCTCGTGCCTTGCCAAGCCACACTCGTGGAACCCCCAGAGTTCAAACCCCAAACCCTAAACCCCAAACCCTAAACCCCAAACCCTAAACCCTAAACCCCAAACGCTAAACCCTAAACCCCAAACCCTAAACCCTAAACCCTGAAACCCAAAAGCCTGACACCCCAAGCCCCAAGAAAGCCCCAAAGCCTTCCACTCGCAGGCTGCTGGGGAGCCTAATGCCCCTTGATTCAGGGTTTAGGGTTTAGGGTTTAGGGCTTAGGGGTCATAGGCTTTCGTTTTCATGTTTGGGGGGTTAAGGGTTTAGGGGTATTTTTAGGGATACCCAAAACCCTAAAACCCTAAAACTCTACAACCCTAAAACCCTAAATACCTAAAACCCTAAAACCCTGAAACCCTGAAACCCTGAAACCCTAAAACCCTAGAACCCTAAAACCCTAAAACCCTAAACTCCTAAATCCCTAAACCCCTAAAACCCTAAAATCCCCTATTTGGGCTGGCAAAAGCCTAAAGGGTGTTGAAGGGGGGTATCGGCCTGGGGCCCCCTGGGGTCTCCTGGACCCGCGAGCTGCGGTCTGGGAAGGTTTAGGGTTTCTCGAGGTTTTGGGGTTCAGGGATGTAGGCTCTTCAGTTCGGGTTTAGGGTTTAGGGTTTAGGGTTTAGGGTTTAGGGTTTAGGGTTTAGGGTTTAGGGTTTAGGGTTTAGGGTTTAGGGTTTAGGGTTTAGGGTTTAGGGTTTAGGGTTTAGGGTTTAGGTTAGGGTTTAGGGTTTAGGGTTTAGGGTTTAGGGTTTAGGGTTTAGGGTGTTAGGGTTTAGGGATGTTTAGGGTTTGGGATGTTTAGGGTTTAGGGATGTTTAGGGTTTAGGGATGTTTAGGGTTTAGGGATGTTTAGGGTTTAGGGATGTTTAGGGTTTAGGGATGTTTGGGGTTTAGGGATGTTTAGGGTTGAGGGATGTTTAGGGTTTAGGGATGTTTAGGGTTTAGGGATGTTTAGGGTTTAGGGATGTTTAGGGTTTAGGGTTTTGGGGTTCAAGGGGCTGGCGCAAGTAGGACTCATTTAGGTTCTTGGGTTTCGGTACCAGGGCTCGCAACTGGTTTAGGCCAGCCCGGCGCAACTTCCCAGACCGCAGAACGGCAACAAGCCCCACGACAGCGTGGAACCCTTGAATATCGAGTATCAAGTTTGGGGCAGTCGGGGTTTTAGGGTCGAGGGTCCCCACCTACCTTGCGCTACAAAAAGTCTTCCTCTTCAACCACCCCCCCCCTCCCACAGAGCACCTGAGCTAAACCCTAAACCCTAAACCCTAAACCGTAAACCCTAAACCGCAGGAAAGCCAAGGCCAGACAGCCCAGAAGACCCCGAAGCCCTCCCAGCCGCGCACCGGTGTAGCCATTGAGGAGATACAGCTCCCCACCTCGGTTGAGAGGCGCGCCGGAGGTTCACACCGAGCACAACACCCTACGCCGAGGCCGAAGCCCTCACCGAAACCGTGCTATGTCAAGGAATTTCAAGCTACCACTGCAGCAACCCCGCATAGACCTACCCATGAACCCTCAAGTAGCCGAAGCTGCGCAGAACCCTAAGACCATCAACCCGAAGAAACCCCCCAAAAAAAAGAAAGTAAGAAAGTGAGAACCCTAAACCCTAAGCCCCCCCAAAAAAGAAAGTAAGAAAGTGAGAACCCTAAACCCTAAACCCGAAACTGCGAACCCGAAACTGAGAGCCCTAACCCCTTAGCTGATCCTCCTTGGAGGTTCATGGGTAATTATAAGTAGGGTTAGAAGTAGGTAACTCTACTCATAACCTTATTTAGGGTACTTATAACCCTACTTTTAACTACCCATGAACCTCCCAGTAGCCCTAAACCCTAAACCCTAAACCCTAAACCCATGAACCTTCAAGTCGGGCTTGGGAGCACGCTGGACGTGATCGTCGGTGTTTGTAAGGATGACATGGACATGGCTGCCTTCAGAGTTGCCATACAGTTAAGGGCTAAGGGATTAGGGTTTAGGGTTTAGGGTTTAGGGTTTAGGGTTTAAGGTTTAGGGTTTAGGGGCCGCAGAAAAGATCTTTGGACCCTGCATCCCGCCTGAGACCCTCAAGCGCTTCAAAGAGCCCCAGCTTGAAGTTCCATGGGTGGTTCTACGAGGGGGGGTAGAACCAAGACTATATTGCAAAGTCTACGAATGACTCTCAAACTGCGGTGCGTTGAGCCCTGCCTACATCTGTCAGTTGCACCTCTCAGTGGCCGCAAAGGGTGGAGCTGAACGTTTGGTATCTTCGGCTTCGGGGCTCTATTGACTTCATTGATTCATGGGCGCTTAACTGATTGAAATAAGGGTGCCCTTTTCGGGGTTGGTTTCTTTAGAAGGGAACCTAGAACCCAAAAAAAAATGGGCAACTGCGTGGTACCAAGTGGTACTGGGCAAAGGCCGATCGAGCGATTGATGGCAAAACAACTGCGACAACTGGGGCCTGAGGGTGTTTGGGAACCCTAGATTTGGGTCTTTTCGGCGCCAAAGAACCTAAACCTGTGAGGGTTTAGGGTTTCGAGTTTAGGGTTTGAGGTTTATCCTAAACCCTAAACCCTAGCACAAATACAGGTGTGTTGCTTCACTGGTTTGCAACCTGGCTTAGGCGACGGTTCGCACACCCAGGCGTTCAGCGGGATCATATGGGCTTTAGGGTTTAGGGTTTAGTATGGTTTAGGGTTTAGGGTTTTGGGGGGTTTACGAGAGAAGGGACCCCTAATATAGACCCCCCAAATAGTATAGGATTCCCTTAAAAATAAGGACCTGAATAAGCTACTCCCCCGATTTCGGAAACCGCCATATACAGCATAAGGCGAAGAGTCCCAGATTGCCCGGCCTGGCCCTACTGCGGCGTACTGCGGCTTGGGAGATTTACTCTCGGTGCTTCCCGGACCCACCCCCCCCCGGTGAATTGCACGATGTGTGCAAACTCAGGAAAACCCGACCCCAGATGAGTGTAATGTAGGGGTCGGAATAATTACTTATATCATTCCCTGATGGTCCCTGATAGTCACCGCCAAGACTATATTCTAATTGCTAAGGCCCCTATATGAGTTTGCGAATTGCGCCGAGGGAATGGCAGTGGGTCAGTAAGCTGGGACAGGGCTCTTCACATCATGCTGGGACCCTGATCGGCGACATAACGAAGGTTCCTGAAATTAAGGACTCTGCAGCATAAACCCTAAGCCCTAAACGGCCCTAAACCCTTAACTTGGGATGTTCCCCCTTTATGGGATTCGAGTACCCCTACTACAATCCCGATTAAGGACTGTTTGTATAAGGGGGAACACCCTAAACCCTAAACACCCTAAACCCTAAACCCTAAACCCTAACAGTACCACCCGAAACCCTAAACCCTAAACCCTAAACCCCAAACCCCAAACCCCAAACCCTCAACCCCTTCACCAACTCAGGTTCAGCGAAGCAGGCCTCGATCTTCGCGCGTCAATGCCCAGTCATCGGAAAGTGGTGCTTTAGGGGGAAACCGACTTAGTTCAGGGTTTAGGGTTGAGGGCTTTAGTGTTTTAGGGTTTTAGGGTTTCAGGGTTTTAGGTTTTTTGGGTTTTAGGGGTTTAGGGCTTCGTGTTTAGGTTAGGGTTTTGGGGTAGTTCTGGGCCCAAGCGCCTACACCCTCAACCCAGGAACCCTTGCAGTTTAGAGGCTGAACCCTAAACCACGCCGTGCCTTCGGGAACCCTCTAAGCCTAACCCGCAGAACGACGGGGGTTTAGGGTTTAGGATTTAGGGTTTAGGGTTTAGGGTTTTGGGTTTTGGGCTCGCCGGTCTACATGTCCAGCCTAAACGACACGTTCATGGAGACCTCCCCCTGCGAAGGCAAGAGCCCACAAGGGACCGAGGGGCGGATCCAGGCAGCCGTGTCGAGCAGAAGGGTTTAGGGTTTAGGGTTTGGGGTTTGGGGTTTAGGGTTTGGGGTTTAGGGTTTATGGTTTAGGAGTAGCAATTGAGAGAAAAAATGAGGTGAGGCGGCAAACCGGGGGTCAACGAAAGCTAGCCTAGCTTCTAGGCGGCATGAAGGGTTTAGGGTTTAGGGTTCAGGGCTTTCCACCACAACTACCAAACTATCACCACACCGACACAGACACACCACCCCCCACACTACCACCACGGACCCCCACACACCCCACACTTCGCCACTACTCGCCTACCACACACCCACCACATCCCACGGCGCTGCCACACACCACCACACATCATCACCACCGCATTCCACACTCACACGCCTAAACCGCGCACCATCACCACACACCTTCACACGTCGCAACACTCCGCCACACGCCACCACAGACACCAGCACCCAACACCACGTCCCACCACGTCCCACCACCACACCACCACACGCCACCGCCCGTACCATGCGCTCATAGGGATCGCGCTCTGGACCTCAAGAGCTATCCGAAGCAGGCGATTGAGAGAAGAAAGACGTGCACGTGCAAACGGCATATTTCAGCAAGATCCAGGTCTGCGGAGCTCTCCAAAAGCTGCGCTCGCGAGATAAGAAGACGTACGGACGCGCGCACAGACAAACCGCGCTCTATAGCTCAAGACCCCTGCGCAAACCTCAAGTATAGTCCAAACGTCGTATTGATGGAACCAGTAGTGAACCCCCCAAAAAAAACAAAAAAACGAACTCCAACTAGAAATGAAAATTGAAATAGTGACCCACCCCGAAATTATCAATTTAAAAGTATCTCTGAGAGGATTGGATCGATTCCCCTGCTAAAGCAAAGACTAAACTCAAGCCTAGATACGGCTAGCTTTCGTGATAATGTTGTTCTTAAAACAGACGTTGGGTCTCAAGGCGAGATGGGTACTGCGGTTGGTACGTCCTTGACTGGCGGTGACATGGCTGGTAAGGTTATGAAGTTGTGTGCATGAGTCCTTTTCATCGGGTCTTAAGGACTGAGGCAGTAGCAAACATGTGATTAAGGGCATGTTCCAAGATGATACGGTTACTGGGATGGGTGTCTTAGCGAAGGTGAATCTGGGATGGTTCTTGGCCTCACAAAATATTGTGAATTCGTGTGGGCTCTTCTCGTCCTCATAGGTTATACTCATTTAGCTATGTTTTCGGGACATTGGCAAGCTCCCTTTATAAATCCAATATAGAGGGCTTTTGATTGGAGGATGTTAAAGAGAACAACGATACGCATTAAACTGCTGAGTGCAAGTTGGAATGATTGTTAGTCACAGCAACTAGTAAGTAACAATGATCATGACTGATAGAAAAACAAACAGCAGCAATGACAATAATCTCGATGACCATGATGGTGATGATGATGAAGACTCACCCTTCTCCTCCCTATGCACGCGGCGGGGGAGAGTGGGGGTCAGCGATGACAAGTTGGCGCTCCACAGCTTTTTGCGACATCCGGCACTTCCGTCAGTCGAGGCATTAACAGAGAGAACGGCCTGGCCCCAAAACCCGAAGCTCACCCCACATCCACTAATTCTCGAGCAGAATCCCTGAGCTGTTTGCGTTTAGGACATTCTAGGTCTAGGTGTTAAGCGGGGCACTTGGACCTGCTATGGTGCTTGGAAAAGTAAAAGCTGAACTTCACAAGCTAGTTGCTAAAGGTTCCTAAACACCCCAACACCCTAGCCCTAAACCCGAAACCCTAAACCCTAAACCCTAAACCCTACTGAGGTTCCAGGTTTGGGCATCCGAAAGGCGAAAGCGACCCGGTGTTCTTAGGGCATCTTCGCGCACGTTTAGGGTCTAGGGCATTAGGGTTTTCAGGTTTAGGGTTTAGGGTTCAGGGTTCAGGGTTTAGGGTTTAGGGTTTAGGGTTTAGGGTTTAGGGTTTAGGGTTTAGGGTTTAGGGTTTAGGGTTTAGGTTCAGGTTTAGGAGCCTTTTGGGGCTTTGATCGGGCCTTAGGGCATCTTACAGCGACCCAGTGGCTTGGTTCCCCCTTGTACTACCAGTCCTTCATAGGGATTATACTCGCAGGTACATCCTAACTACACTTAATACCCTTTAATACCCTCAATACCCTGAATACCCTGCATACCCCAGTCTAATTACAACGGGCCGCGTAGGATCCGAGGATTTCGGCCGAAATGCAAGGGGTTGAAGGCAAGGGCCTTCAAGGGGCTTCACTTGGAGGCTCATGGGCAGATACAAATGGGGTTATAGTTAGGGCAAATATACTTATCGCCTTCCTTATCTCCCATAACTGCCCATGAACCTCCAAGTAGGAGGGCTCCGGGGGTGTAGGGACTTCAGGGTTTTAGGGGCTCCCGAAACTTAATGAACCCTTCACGCGAAAACCTCAACCCTAACCCCAAACCCTGTTGGCTTGCGCTTGGGCATCTGATCACCCTCCTGGCACTGTGTGAAGGAGCCTCGGCAGTTGGGGTTTAGGGCTTAGAACTTAGGGCTTCGGGTTCAGGGTTTAGGGTGTAGGGTTCAGGGTTTAGGGTTTAGGGTTTAGGGTTTGGGTCTAGGGTTTAGGGTTTTTGCGGGACCCCGAAACCCTAGACCCCAAGAGCCCTTAAAGAAGCCTAGAAGCCTGACATCAGGGACCTCAACCCGAGAAGGCATAAGGTGCACAACGGGGGTTTCCGAAATTGGGTCTGCTCTCCTCGACAAGGCTTTTGATGAGGCTCGAAAAGAATAAGGGCCCCAAGCCCTCTAACCCTAGATGCGAGTTTCCGAAGTTCGGGGTAGTTGCCTTATTTGGGGTCCTGATGGTAAGGGAATCCTACTATTTGGGGGACCAGATTAGGAGTCCCCTATTTTCGTAAACACCCATAGTGCCTGCCTTCTTCGGGCGTAGTCCAGGGCTTAGTTGACCCCTTTGCTGCCTTATCCTAAACCCTAAACCCTAGACCCTAAACCCTAAATCCTAAGCAGTACGGTTCGCGGTGTTCGTCTTCCGGATTTCGGGTCTGTGCCCTTCTTGCCTAG